CTCTCATTCTGACCAGTGATGGACCACAGAGCCAAGTAACAAAGTGACGGGTCTTTAGGTCCAGAAGGAGGGCCTCCTGTCTCCACAGAGCAGGGTGGGAGAGTAACGGGGTTATGACTGAGGGGAAGCTGGCAGAAATCTAGGTCTCACACATATTTTGATCTCATGAGAGGGCTGAGGACTTGGTGCTTTACCTGTAGGACCAAATGGGTCCAAGAATCTTGTGGATGGGGTCCCAGGCCCCCTGGGAAGCAGAGGAGATTCTGGTTGAGCCAAACCCTGTGACACCCACCCCCTTACAGCCCAATCTCATTCTGCCTGTCCCACCCCATGCCCACCTTTCCTGACCAACACCACTGGGCCCAGGATGAGGGGCTGTGGTGAGCAGCTTGCTCATAAATTCACCTCAAACCTCAGTCCTGGAAGAGTGGCAGTGAGAACATGAGACTCACATGGGTTCTCTGTTAGACCTGCTATATGACAAGCCTTTCCAGTGCATGGATGGCCACAGAGGGGCTGGGAGTTGTGTGGAGTCATCCTCTGGGTCCCAGACACAAAGAAGGGTGCTATGGGAGCACGATATGCAGTGAAAAGCCAGGCCTGATTCTGCTCCACACAGGACTTCCTCCAGTGACTTCTCTCCCAGCCTGGGAACACGGTCATAAGAGCACCTGCAGAACTCCTGCAGCCCCTGCACTGCCAGAGTTTCCAGGTAACTGTGGCCTACACAATTTCCCAGGTCACACCTGAAACGCCTTCTCCTGGTCCAGCTGGAGCACCTAGAGCCCACTGAGGCAGGGCAGAGGGGAGTGGCAATGTAGTCTGGGGAGACTTTCTGGGATGGGGTTTATGGGTTGGATGTTCTTTAAAGACAGTGGGACCTTTCCTGGTGTTGAAAGTCACATGCAACATCAGTTGTGTGGCCTCTCCCGGCTGACCAGACCGTGGACACAGGGAATGCGATAGCTGGGGTTATAAGTCAGCATGTTTAATTTGATCTTTCAAATTTTTCAGTTGTTTCTACTTATATTTACTTTCTACTTATTTTATTAAACAGAAAATAAGGTCCTAGCCAAAAAGAAAAACAAAAATTGGCACTTGCTAGGCCTACTTCCTTTCCTTGGACACTGGCTGCCTTTCTACAATTTGGACTAAGAACATTTTCTGAATTTCTTCACAAGGTTTCTTTGAACCAAATTTTTGGATCTGTAGTTTTCTAGTTCAATCATGGGAACTGTATCAGCCTAAGTGAGGAAATGCAAGTAAAGGGATCAAACCTCAGATGTGGAGACGACAAGGCCATAGGACGGTCATCTGCAAATGGACTTAGGAGAGGCAGGACTGTCCACTCTCAGGCCCCTCTAGGGGCTCCATGTTCACCCTTTAGCAACATTTGAAACCTCCTGGGGATCCTGGCCCATGACCTGCCAAATCCTTGTGCAGGTTTCTTCTCCCGGGGAAGGATGTGAGATGTGGCTTCTAGGGCTACAGCTGGGCCTCATTCCATGAACATTTATGCTCCGTGTGAACTAAAATGTCCAGCATCCCTGCCCTTCCTTATACAATTCTGTTCAAGGCAGAAATTCCCTGGAGGCCCCCAGCTTCTGTCAGCTACATTGTGGCCATTCCTGCCCGGCTGGGACCTCACAGATCAGGGATGGGTTCTCGTTGGCCAGGACAGCGGTCCATATCCTTGGCCAAGGAAAACCCCTATGCTCTCCTAGGCTGAGCAAGGTGACCTCTGGGCGATGTGGTTCTGAGGTCCATGGTCTTGGACAATCACCAGTTCATACACTGAGTCGTCTTATTACTCACTTGTCCTGCAGGGGCAGCTGGCAAGACCCCTGGGACCATTGTGTTCTTTTCCACAGTCTTGTGCTGTGGTCATGTATAGGGGGATGTGAACGTCTCCTGTGAGGAGCTTTACAGATGAAGCATGAAAGGCGACAGTGGAGGGAGGTCCAGCCGGGGAATGCCACCAAACTCACGACCCATGGGCATGCACCAACACAGGTTTACCTATTGAAATAATATACTGAAATGCTTCCCATCTGGGTGGAAACTCACGCTGCTCTCAGCTCATCCTGAGCACCCATCCCATGATCAGGCGCCAAAGGGTTAGCACCTGGCATTTTGAATAGTATCCCCTGGAAACTCCAGCAAAAGGAAAACCAAGATAAATGGCTGTGCAGTTCTGTTATCTCCCTCCATCCAAAGGCTGCAAGTGTCACTGGGACACACAGCAGGCTGGCTCTGCCTGGGAGGCCTTTTCGTGCAGCCGGGGGCTGACTATAAATCCTGATGCCTGACAACCCAGGCCCTTCCTGACATGGCACAGCCCTCCAGGAACATGGTTTGCTAAAGGAAAGATAGGTAAGAGTAAACCTCCAAAGAGAAGGATACGTGCCAGGTTCCAGGGCTGACAGGGCCAGGGGGGAGGTGAGGGTGCCTGAAGGGTTCCCACTGCAGGACCGGAAGCTCCTGAGGCCCATCCTGCATGTAGCAATATTTCATAGCTCTTGTGCCAAAGGACATAGCAGAGGACAGACAACTTAGTGCATCTTTGGGCATCCAATGGCCAAAAGGGCACTGACAGTCACCCTGAGAGACCATGTTTATACTGAGGGTCACATCACACAGTCCAGGTTTTTACACTGATGTAAATTTAACAAATGATATATATAGAAACACTCAAATTATTCACAACTGAATATGAAAGAAAGAACTATAACAATCAAATCCGTGCTTTTGCAGTTGGTCACACTTCAGAGCTAATATTTAAAATGATCTTCTTCCATCGCCTACTTCATATTCTCTCTGGTCTCAGCAAGCACCTCAGCTGGTCGTGTATTTTGCCTGGTGGGATGATGCTGACCTTCATTCCTGAAGGCTCAGGGCCATCAGTAGTCACGCCTGGACTGGTTTCTTATACCTTTCAATCTACCGTCCTCTCAGGGCACAGTAATGCTAAGAAAGCCCTAAGGAATCGCCTGTACTTATATCTCCATGCAGAGCAGCTGTCCACTCTCCCCCGGGTAACAAGGATCACTCACCAGCCAGTGCCTGCTGATTTAGAGGCATGAGGAGCCCTAAGTGGCGGGGCGGCAGTCTTAATTTCCAGTCCATGGAATCAATGTGTGTCCTGGACAAAGCTCTCCTCCCTTTGGAATGAAGAACCCTGACCATGAGGTCACAGGCCCATGAAGCAGAAGTGATGCTAGCGGATCACTCCGGCTGTGGAGGAGAGGCTGGTCCATGACAGGACCGTCGCCTGACCCCTGCTGGGCTCTCATACTGGATCCAGTTAGATCCGGGCCAAAGCAGAGGTTGCTTCTCCAAAATCCCCTTAAACACTGTCCGGTCCCTTGTGAAGCCCAAGATGTGCAGGTTCCTGGAACAAGCCTTGCCTGCCCTGGGCAAGTCTAAAGGGTGGGTCAGACCCCAGTTCCCCTGACCATCCTGCGCTGTCCTGTATAGCCCTAAAGCACCTGCCACCTGGTGTGGAGGACATCCACGTTGTCTTTCCATCGCCCGACATGTGCCTCGTATGTAAGTTCCCTTAATAAACTCTCAATGTCATGATGTTGCTGTCAGCCTGTTTTTCATGTCTCTCAGCCCTGGGAAATCGTACATAAATAAGAACAACAGTGGTAATAGTGGGTGGGGCCACACACAGGTCTACCCATGATTGATGGACTTGTGAATCCTGGCTCTGGGGAAATCTGCATATAATGGACTCTGATTTAGGGCCTTAGAAGCCTCCTGGGAAACTGCTCACGCCCTGTAAGGAATTGCCACCAGGTAGTGTTACAACTCAGACAGCCCATTTTTCTGTCCTGTCAAGTCAGCTGCTTCAGGAGGAAGGGGAACAGGGGAAGACCAGTGAGTTGGTGAGCATGGGCCCAATGCCACACTTCATTCCTGTGCGGAGAGTCCTTTGATGAGTGAGAGACCGTGATGGTGGATAAGGTGCTCTGTGAGGCTCCAGATGGTAGTTATCAGAGACACTGCATGAAGGGAAGGGAACACAATTCTCTATCCAGAGTAGCTGTCTAGGCCAAAAGTCGGCAAACTGCAGCTCGCGAGCTGCATGTGAATCTTTGGGTATGTTCTGTCTCAAAAATTTGCTGACCCCTGGAAGAGCCAACCCTGTCCCACACAACAATTTAAAAATTATTCAACAGCCATAAATATATTTTTACATAATCACCATTATGTGAATAATATCCTGTAAAAATTTTATAAATGAAACTATGATAGTTGTATTTTCATTTTCAGTTTTACTTCAGAGCCACAGTTCGCAAGCCGCTGTTTGCTGACCCCTGGCGGCTCTTCGGTCTCAAAAGTTTGCCGATCCCTGCTCTAGGCCAATAAGAACAAACCACTGCCCCTTCCATGGGAGAGGAGGTCCAATAAAATCGCCTCCCGTGGGGCAGCTGCCTGATCACCCTGGGGACAGTGCCACATCAGGGACCCTGATTTTGTCTGCGCCCCTGGCAGATGTGGCACTCAGCAGTGACTGTGTGTGTGTGTGTGTGGGGGGTCAAGCTTGATGAGTGGAAGCCACAGTGCTGAGCCCATGCATCACCTCCACATCTGCCGGTATGGCTTTGCTTACAGTCATAGGACACACGCGGAAGATCTCTTGATTTGATTTTATTTTTTTAACAAATCAATTGCCACAGAGTTCTAGCAAAGAATATTTCACTGAGCTGAAAATAATTTAAATTTTTTGTGTTTATAAATGGTTCATGAGAAGATGTCAAACATGGTAATACTCTCATATGAAGACAAAAGAAGCTAAGAAGGATATATGAAAATATTATCCATAACTTAGCTTGTTTAAAGCCAGTAAAGTTAAAGTATAATAAACTCTCCTTGGGTATAAATAAAACATTGAAATTAAAATCATGCTGTGAATTATAATACACTTTTCTACTTTTCAATATTTTTCAAATACTTGAAACTTGAAAAAAATAACAATACAAAAGAATGAAAGAATATATGGGGGTTCAGTCTTTTCCCTTTGCCTCAGCTAAGATAGGGCTCCAGAGAAGGGCCGCATGTCCCAGTTGTTTTTTCTTTTCTATTAATTTCATGACTGTATATGCTTTTCCATTCATCTGCCATTGTACTGTGATTTCTCCCCAGAAACAATCTGAAAAAAGTGATACCAGATGCTATGAATTCGGAGCTTAAAAACCCTGACTAATGAATCATTTGCAAATTAATTCTTGTTAAAAATGTTTCATGAGAAGGGTTGCGGGGAGTGAAACGGAGGAAGGGGATCTATTTACAGTGATGGATGGCAAGGAGACTTACTGCGGAGGGTACACAAATATCGAATCAAATGTTGTCCACCTGAAATAGAATCCCAGATACCAATTTTACCACAATTGCGATAAAACTACATTATATGAGAAAGTGAAAAGCGAAGCACATGTGAACACTAGAGTAAATGAAGGTTCTATACTCACTATTTAGAAAAATGTCTGGGATAAGCCTCAGCTGACCCTGGACCGGAAGCTTTTTCCTCGGGGTCGTGAGGCTGAAAGTTGTCCTGAAGCCACAGAGGCACCCCATCCTCCTGCGAAAACAAAGCTCTTGTCTTCACCTGGATTCTGTGCTGGCGAACACGGGCGGACCCAGCAAGAGCTCACCGCGACCCCGAAATGACGGGTTGTGCGCCCCCTGATGGCCGCTGGGGTGCAACGCAAGAAGCGCACACCTAGTTCAATGGTGGCTGGGCCCCTTCTTGGAGGTCCTGGTGAATGCCCGAAATTCAGCATTCAGATTAGCAATGCCATAATTGGGGAAATTTTAACAGAGACGGAGCTCCTTGTTCTGTGCCCAGATGGGAATCGAAGTTTAGAGACAATATACACTGTTTTAAAAAATATATGCCAGTTATAAATAACTACAATATGAAATAAACAATGCCACTCATAATAAACCAAAATCTTTTTTTAAATCCTCAAACATACATTCAACAAAATTCTTACAGATCTCTATGGGGGGAAAAAATGAAACACTCTTGAAAGCAATGAAAATAAAGTAAATTAATTGAGGTATATTCCTTGTTCATAATTTAAAGACACAGCGGTATTAATGTGAAAATTACTTTTAAATTTATAAAAATGTCTAGAGCAAACCCACAGACAACCCGGCCATTCCCACTCAGCAACCTGGTTCGCTATTTTCCATATTATGCATGTGTCTAATTCAAAACAATCCAAGTTAATTTCCAGAGCAAAAAAGGAATCATTCACATATCTCAGTCCTCCACGCAGCTGCAGAGGCCAGTAACATGGACGTCGACTCCTGGCCACTGCCTGTTCCAACTGAGGCTCCTGAGCTGTGTCTGCTCCTCTCCTTGGCTTCTAGGCCCCGTGCTAGGGCAGGTTGTGTCCACAGTGCAGGGCTCCTGCCTGTCCCCAGGGAAGACTGGGCTCAACCTCACTGCCATCTCCACCCCCACGGGAGTCTCCTCTCTCTCCCCAAGTCCCCAGGATCCTGAGACATTCTGGCCTCAAACCATGAAAAAGCCCTCGTGGATCTAGGATCTGACCCAGATCCTCACACGGGCGATGCGAGGCCAGTTAAAAAAAAACCCAAAATACACCATTTGCAAAGGCCCTCAAAGGTATCACTCGTTTATTTACTCATCGCATGTTCTGAAGTGTTTCCTGCACACGGTCCAGCATGGGTTCCCAAAATCAGGGGCTCTTAGATGATGTAAAGAGAAATTTTAAACTTATTTATGGCATATTGTATGAGAATTTAGAAGGAAAAAGGCCTGCCTGGGGTCATATGATTGGATTCATGGCTTAGGTATGCACTTACTCTCTGGAGGATTGGCTACCCTCCAGGCATGTAAGGAAGGAGATGTGGAGCTCGCCCAAGGTCTTACAAACTGGGCTGAGCTCCAAGGACTAGTCCTAATCAGTGCCACGGGCTAGCCCCAGCTCCTGGCCAGATCCGGGGCTGGTCCCATGTATTGCTTACGCATATGCCATTTGGCTGTAAGCCGCCTTTGTTATAAAACCCTTAAGAAGCCCCAGGAGGCAGGGATGAGCAGCAGCTCTTCCTCAACAGATTCCGCTGTGTCATTACTCTGAGAATTGCCCGTGATGCTCAGATTCTGGTGCTGAACTGCCCATGATGCTTTGATTCCTGTGCTGAATTGGATAAAGGGGCCCTGGTGGTATGATGTAACTATTTTTCTATTTCCCTTGCGACTATTTACTTTCTATTCCCCTTAGCTCTTTCCCTGTTAACAATAAACCTGTACCCCAAGCGGCTTTTGGTGGTGTGTCTTGCATATTGAACCCCAAAATAGAACTCAGTCTGTGCACAGCTATCGATATAGATTAATTATCGATATACATATACACACAGCCCTTGGGATATGCCAGGTGTGCTCGCCTGTTCTCAAACATTCATTCTCTAAGACTTTCTATCATCTCAGAGAATGTATATTTATCATTATTATCATTATTATTGCCAAGTGTCAGATGGGGATACTGAGGCACAGACCACATTGCTCCCAAAACTCATGCCTGTAAAGTACAAGGACCCACATATCACGGTTCCCGCGGACCAGGCGTCTGGGCCCGGTTGAGCTGGGTGCCTCTGCCTCAAGGTCCCTATGAACCAGACACTGTGCTGCAACTGTGGCAGCTTCGCTCCCAAGGACACTTGCCTGATTACTGGCAGCAAGCAGTTTGGACTAAGAGCTTGAGTTCCTGCCTGTTGGCCGGGGCACTCCCTGTGCTTCGGGGCCTCGACAGAGGGCAGCTCAAAATGTCAGAGCTTGGTCTCCCTGGTCCAGAGATTGGAGAGACAGACAGAGACAGACACACACAGAGAACCTGAAACAGAGTTAGCCTCACAGGGAGGGAACTAAAGAATACAGTCAGACGGACGTGACAGAGCTCCTGTCATTCAGCTTGGACCTGACACCCCAACACCTTGGCTGGCTCTGTTGTTCAGGTGCCAGACACTAACCACTTAGCTAATACACAGGGATGTTCACACCATGGGCAGGGACCGCTCGGAGCCGCTGGGGAGGCTCCC